GGGGGGGAGGAGGTGCGACGTGTGGAGCGTGGATGCGAGCGGGTCTGGCAGCGGCGAGCGTGAGGTGGGGAGGAGGTGCGGTGCACAGCGTGTGGAGCTATGAACAGTGCCAACTGATCAGGAAGCCGATTAATCGATTATTGAAAAAGTTGACAACTTTTTCAATAATCGATTATAATCGATTATGTCGATTAGTTGTTGCAGCCCTATCAGGAGTAGTCAAATTTTCTAGCACCTTGAATGGTGAATTGCAAATTAATACAAATTATTTATGGAAAGGAAAAGCTCTGCAAGTAAGCGTTTGAAATAATTGATTTCTTCATGCTTTTAACCGCAATTTAGGTACCTAACCCCTTCACATCCACCATCAGTATATAAAAGTTCTTTTAGCAAGTGCCCAGTGCTGAGAGAACTTTTATAAACATTTAACGTTTCCAGCTTTCAGTTACTCTTGGCTCCTGTGTATGTATACATGGGAGATAGGGACTGTGTAAAGCGCTGCTTAAATTGCCAGTGTTCTATAAATACCTGGAATAAATAAGTCTCCAGGAAGGGAACTGCAGACTGCCGTGGGAAGGCTATAAGATTTGATTGGTAGCCATACCGATCGAATCCTGGTCTATTTTAACCTCTTCACTGCCGAGGCCACTTTGGTAATGGAGTGGAAAGATGAAAACAATCCTGCGGGTTTGGGTTTGTTTTCTTCTGTGCTGCAGCCTCTGTAGTGGGCTGTGAAGTGAAATCAGTAGTTGTACAGCCAGCCAATCCTTTTTTTACATGTGCGTAGGCAAATGATCGGATGGCCCCTGATTACAGATTTGGATCTTTGTTTTTCACCACTTTCCAAGCACACTTAACTTTTAGCCTAGAAGTATGTGTTATTCATTAAGCCAGCAGATTCTCAGCTTTTTATATTTAACCCATTAGCAATAGATTGCTCTACAGTAACCCATGACCCAGGGCGCCCCGTTAATTGTAGGCATTGTACTGGTAAATGCCTAATATCTACAAATCTAAAATATACGCACTTGTTTACTGACCATACAGGACTGACGTGTGTATCAAAGCCTACACATAACAACTGTAAAAATATTTTTGGTAGGCATAATACAGAAGTATCGTGAGGTTAACTAATGCAAAACGAAACTGCTAAATTTGGCCTTGGTGTCCAGGCTTCAGTGACCCCTTCCTGTGTCAGGAATCCCAGGTGTCCCCATTCAGATGAGGCCACTGTACCCATTCAAGTAAATGACCAGGTGACAGCAGCCGCATCTGTCATATATTCGGTTTCAGATAGATGATTATCGCTGGACGCATCTATCCTGCATCCAGTGACAATCATCTATCCTGAACTGCATGTTATCATACCATGCACGATTACATGCAGGCTGCCGTTGACAGATGCAGCCACTGTCACCCTGCCATTTACTTGAATGGGTACAGCAGCTGCATCTGAATGAGGGCACCTGGGATTCCTGAAGCAGGAATTCGTACGCTCTTGTTCCAGGGATCCCAGAACATGGTATAAGTCCCCATGTCAATGAGGCCTTATAGAAACTGTTGCATAGCACTTTTAATGTGAGTTGGCACTTCTGGTGCCACACCAGTCCTTTTACATTGTTAATTTGCTGCATGTCAAATATGCCAATATGCACACTACAAAATTGATGTATTCCCCCCCCTAAGTGTTCACATAAGTGAATTCAGTATTAGTCCCCTCCTGCAGATAGCGTAGGAGAGGGCGACAAGTACTCTTAGAACTGATATAAAAATTTGAATTTGATTTGAAACATTGAAAAGACTTCCAATCACATATACAGTTCTGTACTCCTCTATTCATTTTCAGTGCATACATGAAGATGTTCCCTTGTGTAGTGCGCTTTGAAATGTTCCTTTTTAATGACTGGAAATGAGAAATAATCTCAGTTATTCTACATACAGAAGCTCTTAAGAAAGAGGATATTTATAGAAATCTGAACCTAATCTGGAGTTTTGCAAGTAGGAAGTTACACAATCTTTCATATGTTCCTCATATTCACAATGTGCAACACCAGTCCCTGGCCATGATTGTGACAACGTCGTGGGAAAGAAAATCTTATTTCTTCTTTTTTCTGTTCCCTGTTTAGGAGAACCAGTCTAACCAGGAAAACGTGGATGAAATCTACAAGCTCAACCCCATCCTGCGTCACACAAAGAGTCCTCTATATGCACCGCTTTTACCCTTTCCCTGCGGATCCGATGATCATTCTTGTAAGTGTGAAATTGCATTTTAAGTGGCGCAGATGTGATTCTATCCACCATCCAGAGATGACTGATATCCATCTGTATATCATTTTTTTTATTTTCTGTACGATATTCCATCACATTTACATACAGAGTATGTAGTAGCATTCCGATCACTACTTTACAATGTAATGTTCCTAGCACAGATATACATGCAGACCCTGGTGGGAATATAACCCAGTGTCCTGAGACTGACAGATAATAACGCTAACCATTAAATTAATTCAAATCCAACTTTGGGCTAATTTTTTTTTATATGGTCCCCAAGCTGGTAGGTAAACTTCCAGTTATCTGGCACCCATGGGGATCGGTAGGTACCAATTCATCTGCCGGCTAGATTATGCAGCCGGCAGGTGAATGTAAACAGCGGGCAGTGGGCAAGGGCAATAGTCAGCCTGTTATTGGCTATAATTGCATTAGCAGGCTAGCTATTGCACCCGCCCACTGAACAGAGCAGCGCGAGAGAGAAAGTGTTCCCTCAGGTCTCTTCCTCTGCTCAGTGGGCGGGTGCAAAAGCCAGCCTGCTATTGGCTATTGCAATTTGAAATAGCCAATAGCAATCTGGCTATTGCACCTGCTCACGGTGCAGAGAAGTGGACCTAAGAGAGAAAGTTATCTCTCATGTCCACTCCTGCTAAGTGGGTGACTGCAATAGCCAGCCTGCAATTTAAAATAGCCAATAGCAGGCTGGCTATTACTCCAAGTTGTTTATATTCAGCTCCTGACTACGGAATCTGAACGCTGGCCGGCAACAAGATGTGAACATAGAATTTTTTTGGTTGCACATGTCTCTCAAGCAACTGGCAAATATATGGAGGACATAATTTGCCGGTTGCTTGAGAGTGCCGGTTGCTTAAATGTCGGATAATGGGGAGTTTACTGTATTAAAAAAAAAAGCTCTGGTTGCCCTAACTCCGGAGCTGTCAACCCCTTCGCCCCCTTCCCCTGGGTTCTGGGTTAACTGACGCCCTGCGCCTGGCATTCAAAGCCTTTCTGGAATGAACAGACCTTTATTTATTTTGGTAATGTTGTGTGTTTGATGTATGATGAATGACAATTACAGTTAGACTTTCTTGGTGATGTTATATAAACACAGACAAAGTGTGTCTAGTGCAGGGACCAGTTACTGGTAATCTCCCAGTGTATCATCTGCAAATGGGTCATTTTCCGCAAGTCCTGTTAGTCTTGAGGGGAATTCCCATGGCCACGAAGAATCAAACTGTTGTCTGTTAACAGGGACAGTAGACGCTGTGGCGTTTGGAAATGCCTTATTCACTCTGTGTCCTTTGATCCCTTGTCCTTATTCCCACCCTTCAGTCTGGCAGAAAATCAGCAGTCGTCCCACATTAAATATTAAACTTGCAGCTCTTCTCCCTTATCTTCAGATCTGCGCCAGCTAAAAATACATTTTCCTTCACCCATCCTATAGCTTTGTCAAGCCTCTTCTTTTTATTTTGTCTCTGAAGTATTTTTACTTTTCCCTTGTTGATGTTCTATACTGCTCTTACATCTGACCCTCCACTACTCTATTTAACCCCTTTCTTCTTGTTTCCAGTCTCATACTGTTATGTCCACTTTTTACAATTTTGTATTTTGTATTTTTTTTTGTTAGTCTCCAGTTTGTCTGTCTTTGTGTCAGTGTTCATTAACCATACTGCATGCCTGCATGTTGCTATGACTAGGAATGATACAGTCAGTGGTGGAACTACAACCATAGCGACCGATGCGGTCGCTATGGGGCCCGCGGCACTGGGGGGGGCCCGGATCTCCGCTGCTCTCCCCCGCTTGAATGGGCTGAGGCAGTGGGGATCCGAAAAAAAATGGACAGCGGAGGAGCCGCTGCCGTCCTGAAACTGACAGGAGGACAGTGGCTCCGCTCCCCTCCTGCGGTTTGATCGAGCGCAGCGGGGAGGAGAGCAGAGCCGCTGTCCTCCTGTCAGTTTCAGGATGACAGCAGCTGTGTGCGTGGCCGAGCGGAGGATCGGTAAGTATCATTGATATTTACCGATCCTCCGTGTGCAGCACAAACACTGGAGTGATCGTCTGATCACTCCAGTGTTTGTAAATAACTGGGGACACATAGTACCATGTGTCCCCAGTTATGAATGAACAGGAGGTGATCTACATCACCTCCTGTTCATTCATTAAGTTATCAATGGGGAGAAGCACTCAGTACAGAGGCTTTTCCCCATTGAGAATCTGCTTGATAGTAAATATCTTACTATCAGCAGTTTGTGAATGAATGGGAAGCCTCTGTACTGAGTGCTTCCCATTCACTGAGAGTTTCTTTTGTAAAAAACCATTAATTTAACTGTGGCAGCGCATGGCAAAGCTTTGTGACGCATTCCCGTGCGTTGTGATACCTTGTGTTGTAATTAAATATACTCCTGTATCATTTTATCACAACACAAACACCAACACAGCGCAAAAACCATGTATAAGATGAATCGCTTATTTACAGTTTAGCGTTCCTTCTTTTTTTTTTATAATCCCCCTTTCCTCAGCCTCTCATGGTGTGGCAGTATTAAAGTAAAGTGTTAGGCTTCATTCAGGTGCCATTCACACCAGGGCGGAAGCGTTTCACCGTGGTTTCTGCACGATTTTTGAAAGAGCATTTTTGGCAGTTTATTCACGTTTCAGCACATGCTGATCAGCGCATTTCTATTAAAATGGGGGCAGGGCGTTTCGTTGGGGGGGGGGGCTTACAAAATTTTGCTATGGGGCCCTGGGATTTCTAGCTACGCCCCTGGATACAGTAATCCACTGACCATTGCTGTCATTCCCATGTGTGGTCACGTTGTTGATGTGACCACAAGGTCACTTCTGTGGCCCTTAGTGGTTGAGCTCCAGTGTCACTCCTTGTCAGGAACAAACCTAGGAGAAAGGCATGAAGTCACAGCACCGAGGTACCAGCATTTGTTGACTCTGACCACAGTTTTGGAGGCGGTGTAGCGGCCATTTGTTTCATGATGAATTAAAGAAGCTCAGCTATGGGCACAGCAGAATAATGACCCGTCTGGGCCCTATGTAGTGTGAAAACATTAATATCAACCGAAACACCCTAGAAATCAGGCATGTCACAATTATTTTACAGCAACAAACCAGCAAGTGTGTTGCCTTAGTGGACTGGGATGCCATTCAAAATGGGAACGGGAGTAAACGCAACGCATATATGTTGCATTAATGCAGTGTTCTCACAGCGCAAAGATGTAAATGGGCCCTCAAAGTTGTCAGAAATAGCTCTAAATTGTGATTTAGCTTATTTTGCAAATATTACTCTTTTTGGATTTGGCAACTTCCTTCTCACTTTTTATTCCCCTGCCTTTTTTACCTTTCTTTTCCTATTTTATTCCTCTGCTATCATTCCTCTTCTCATCCTTTTCCCTCCCCTTCTTATCTTTGCCTTCCTTTCTCCTTTCATTGCTTCCCCTCCCCATCCTATCCCTTCCTTCACCTTCCTTTTATTATTATCAAAGCTTTTTTTTTTTTTTAATCAAACTGTGTTTTTAAAGTGCTTTCCTTTAAGTGGCTGACCTTATTTACTCTTTTATTTCATTTTTTTTTCTAGTCCATAACATCAAGGGTTACACAGCTTTGCGGGATGAGGCAGTGAAGCTCTTCAATTCCCTCCAACAAATGGAGATAGAAAGAGACCCTGTACCACTGATGCAGGGGGTCCTCCAAACGTGCCTAGACCTTCGACCTCTACGAGACGAGGTTTACTGCCAAGTCATCAAGCAGACCACTGACCCCCCAGAACCTGGTAGTTTGTCTAACCTCAGATACTGGCAGCTACTTACCTGTATGAGTTGTACTTACTTGCCTAGCCCCGCTGTCCTCCGGTTTCTCCAGTCCCACCTACACAGGTAAGATATTAATATAATGAGAATTATAAATGATTAGACTATTTCAGCGTTAGGCAAACAAATCTCCGGAACAGAGTTAGGTTCTGAGCTCTAAATCATCATTATTGTTCTTTTGACCTTGCTGAAATCCCCTTTTACAGCAGCAAGTGGCCTGTCGCCCAAACTGTCCTCTTCACTCCTCTCTAGACCTTCGGCTCCCTAGCTCCCTCATGACCTGCTCCTATGCTCACCTTAGGACTTCTCCAGAGCCTTTCCCATCTTCTGGAAATCCCTACCCCAGCCTGTCCAGCTATCTCCTACTCTGCCTTTAGGTGATCCCTGAACACTTATCTCTTCAGAGAAGCCTATGCTGCCTCTACCTGAAAACTGAATTTTTACTTTCAGCATCAGCTCATCATCAATATCACAGCTATTAATTTTTGTGTCACTTGCCCCTTTCTTTTAGAAGCTCACACGAGCAGGGCCCTCCTGACACTCTTGTCTTTAAATGTTTTGTAACTGTACTGTAAAGCGCTGCACAAACTGATAATAACGGACTGATGTGCTTCCATCTCACTTCATCCTCCTGCCCTGGAGTACATTTTCTGGCAACCCACTTACATCCCTCTGCTGCTCCCAAGGCTAAACAAAGCTTAGAAGGAGGGAAAGAGCTTATTAGGCAGTGTCCTTCCTATATATTGACACTCCTGTATGTCCCGATATGTCAACACACCATAGTTGTCCAGAGCAAATGCACTGCAACAAGAGGGTGACAATGCTGCTGGAATTTGAATTTGGAATTTGAGCAGCAATTTTGCAGCGTTGTCAGTTCTCTGCAGGAAGTGATGTCAAATGAGGCATAATGGCAGGTTTAAACGGCAAGAAGTGCAGAAATTAAACAGAGGTGCGAGTTAGAATGTATGTGACTGTAATGATTGAAGAAAGCACTTTGCATATAAAAAAATTATACATTTGCCTGGACATACACTTTCAATTCTGGGGAAGTATTTATTACCAAATCTTCTCTACAATATGCCCATAAAAGAACAATATTTACATGCTTACACAGTATGAGCAGAGGAAGTTGAATAGCCCCCATTTTCTAGTGAATATAACAATTTTCAATCAAAGGCTAGAGTGATTTTTATTATAGTTCATTAATCCAATGTTCCATTATTCTGTCTAGAACTCAGACCCATTTCCCTGACACAGAAATGGAGAAGTACGCTGACTTCATCCTAGCATCTCTGGAGAAGACGAAACAACGAGAATATGTTCCATCCTACGAGGAGATCTCAGTACTTATTCAGAGGCAGGCACTGATATGCACTATATACTACCCTGGATCTGGTGTCTGTAAAGTTCCTATCACTTCTCACACCACTGCTGAAGAGGTAAGCCCTGGTTAGCCCCTAATAGCTGCCAGCTAATCAAATGTTTAAAGGACATTTGTTGTCACTGTTTGTAAATGATAACTTAAAAGAGAACTAAACTAATGTCCTCCTGTGACCCAAAACTCAGCATATAGCAGGCTATTACCCATTATATGCTGACATTGACAGCTGACTCCACCTCTCTAGAGTCAGCTGTGCTCACCCTTCCCTAGTCTGTCCCTCCAATGAGCATTACAAGAACAGAGTGGGGAGGGGAGAATACCTGTGGGGAGTGGTAACTAACAGTTATTGCTCTCTGCAGGGAGAAGACTGTGAGCTGAGCGATCAGCAGTCACATGATCGCTCAGTTCTCGATCTATAGAGCCGGCGGGTGACAGCTGCAGTATAAAATGCTTGCTCCAAGTATTGGGAAAAGTACATTTTACTCTCCCAATACTTCTCCTTTAACACTGCTCATCAAAAACATTTTGTAAATGCTAACTGGGGGCATCAGTGTGATAAAAAAACATATACATAGTATTGTAAGGTAAGTGTATGATTAAAGCTGAATTCCAGGCAAACAGGTAACATTGGAACAGGAACAGGGGCCATTGTGGGGGTAATTTCAGTTTCCCACATTGGCTGGGAAACTGGAATTACCCATCAAAAAGGCATTTGAAATGTATCCATTTTACAGAGCTTGTGTTTGTAATTAAGACATTTCTAGGGGCAGCTCAATTAGTCTCAATTAGAGATGCAAGCAACACCCTATTACAGATGAATGTATTAAGCTCTTGCCAGTACCACATTTTGAGCAGTGTAAATGGAAGGAGAACATTTTCAAATTACCATATCCTGTGTTTATGTCACACTTTAGAAGTCTACTTTTGTAATGAAGTCACAGATGTAAATATCCCATTATATAATCATCTGATTGGCTTTTTAAAATGTTTTTATTGGACAACCCTAATGTGCGGAAACAAGAGGGTGGAATAGTCCTGGGGGGCGGGTGGGGGGCTTGGGTAGGCAGTGCTCTAGCTTGTTTATATCTGTATTATAAAGTTACTGATAATTTTAGAGTTACACAAAAATGGCAAAGCGACCTTTGTTTCTGTAAATATGTATGCTCATCTCCAGCCAAACGTTTTTTTAGTTTTGGATAGAGTATGAAAGAATTAGAACATCTGTCAGGTTTTAAATGCTGATCATTTTCTGTTTGACTTTAAATACAGTTTCTGTCCCCATAGAGGAAACTCGTGTTTCCTTCCTGTTCTCTGTGGCATCTGTGTAACTAGACAGGAAGTGAGGGGAAATCAATTTATAAAAGTTACAGGAGAAGTGAAAAATATGGTGAAAGAGAATCTGTCACAATTTCCTGCAGAGCGGGGTCTGACACTTACACTTTGCCAGGTTCACACTCTTCGGAACTTTTCTCTGTAAACTATACTTTTCAGTTTTGTTATTCCACAAAACCAATCTAGTTAGTGTAGCACTTCATCTTACACATATGTCCATTTACACTGTTGCATAGCCCTGATGAAGCTGATGCAGATCTTTGAAATGTGTTGGCTTGTTTTGTTTTAAATGATTCACAATCAAGAATGTTATACCTCATTATATGGAAGAAGTATCCTCTTGAATGTTGAGTGGCGCATCTGTCATTTCTTATTTTTACTTCTTCTGCATCTTGTACACGCAGGATTACATACCTCAGCAATAAATAATGGGCTAACTTCTTCCCTCCTCCCTTTTCTGTTCACATTGGGATTGGATTATGTGTATGGTGTGCCACATGTCTTTGGATATAAATGCCAGCGTTTCTTAACCCTTTTTCAGTCACGGTACACTTTAAAAGTAAGAAAAATCTCGAGGCACTCCAGTCTAAAATGTAAATGTATAAAATGACATGTGGGACCACACAAAAAAAGTAGTTTTTGCCCTTCACATCAGACCCCCACCTTTCACATCCAAAGACCCCTCTATTCACATCCCCCCACATTAGGAGCCCCTCATCACATCACAAGCCCCCCTTCACATCAAAAGCTTCTCTGGATGGATCTCACCCTCCCGAGATTAGCGTCATTTGTTTCCATGGTGCTGGTGCTCAGCCCCCCTGCACCATGCAAAGGTGTGTGAAAATTTTGAGGCCCCCCTAGGGTGCCAGAGCAGCCTTGAGAAAGGCTGATATATGTAAATGAAAGTTGACAGAGGTTCTAACCCTTCCACACTCATACTAAACCTAGAAATAGAGGCTGCCTACAGCTGGGAGTTACCATTATTTATTTAAATAGTATACTTTTTTCATGTTTTGCTTGTCTTTTACCTTTATTGGGCTTTAAATAAGTATTTCTGAGTGTGGTTTTCTCTTCACAAAGTTCCTTTTGTAATAACTGTCTTCTTCATGAAAACTGAAGAACAGGAAAGTGTCTGCATTGCCCATAATAACCAGTTAGATTTTAGAAATCACTTTTTAGATCTATAATAAAGAACCAGGTAATCATTGGCTGTTTTAGGTAACATAGACATGTTCCTTCCTCTAGTATTTATACATCAAGCTGCTGTAGCGGTCATTGAATGACATTACAATGCTTTCACCATTTTGTCCCTTCACACAGCTGGTTGCTGAGCTGATGAAAAGACTCGATCTGAGTTCCAGTCTAAACTTATTTGCCCTCTACGAGCAGAACAACCAATATGAGCAAGCACTGGGCAAAGCCACTATCATCGCTGACACTCTCACCAGGTTTGAAAAGTAAATAGAATTTTATTTTTGGGGTTGCAGAGGGAGGGCAGACAGGGAATAACATATATAAGGACTTAACGCTGTATCATTTGTAAGCTTAGTGTTAATATATGTGATATGACAATTGTGCACACATCTTGTTCATCTGTATATTTGTTTGCTTCCAGTGAAAGATGTTACTTTGCTTGATTCTGAATGATAATGTATAGTTAAAACATTTGAAAATAGAACTTGTCAATTTCCAGTGCATTTCTGCCTGTAAACACTCAAGGCCCATGGCCGGATCATCTTCAGAGTTCCAGCTTTTCAGCAGAAACATGCATTTAGACAAACCTCCACCCCAACGTTTTTTGTAAGGTGCTTAGAGGTACATTACAAATGGTAATCTTAGACTCTGTCATGACATATCATGTTCTGAAGGTCCCAGATTGATTTACAACAGTGGTGGAACTACAAATCCAGGGCCGTCCCTATAATAAGGCAGCGTGTGGCGGCATTTGTGGGTGGGGCGGACAGCAGAGTGGCATCTCTGCTGCCTAATGTTTCCAGTGTGCCTGCCTCCCTTTTTTCCTCTGTCCTAAACTTCCTGGTTCTGGGGGAGGAGATTGAGGGTAGAGGAGCCATAGGCTCTTTCTGCCGTCAATTAAGCTGTGGAGAGGAGGGGCGTGGCCTGCCACAGGGCTGTGTGTGTCTATGGACGCACACAGCCACTGCGGGAACTCGCACGCACGGGTGCCTCCATAGCAGCCACTTAGCTGCTGGCGGCACCCGTGCAGGGGGCGAGAAAGACACTGATGCGTGGACTCACTCGAAAACGTAGAATTTAATTGATTTTTTTTAAATAAGAACAGATTGTGCCAACCTTATATACAAAAAAAAGAAAGGAAGGTTTAATGTAATTTTAAGTAGGAATATTATGTACCATTCTCTGAACATAGGCTAGTAGGGGTAAAAACTTGTAGATGATGGAGGTTAAAGATTTTCTGCTACAGTGGAGCAGTGATCGGAGGACAACAATACATGTCATAGAATGCAGACATATTCTCATGCTAGAGTAAAAAAAGTTTGGTCTGTGTGGAGCATGACAGCTTGTTTTTATGTTGCACATCCCTTTGTTACTAAATTGGTTAAAGTAGTCTTTCTTTTTTTATAGCCTTACCTGTAAAGATAAAGGGTTTGAAACAAGATGGAGGTTGTACTTCAAGCTGTACTGTTTCCTTGACCTGGAGGATATACCTAAAGACAGTATGGAATACTCTTTCCTTTTTGAACAGGTATTGTCTCCTCTCTGATCAGTGTTTACCTATTTCATGAAATGATACAAGACTCCATTGGCCACCATATGCTTCACTTGGGTCTATTGTATTTTTCTACCTGAAGAAACCATTTGAAATGTATAATTTCCATTTAGACTTTCCATTTCCAGTATTAGCAAGGGGTAATTGTATTATTTGTTACAGGTCCATGAAGCAGTCATCCAAGGTTACTTACCAACAAATGAAGAGACATTACAGTCACTGGCTGCTCTCCGTCTACAATTCCTCAATGGTGACTTTTCCCCCAATGCACCATTTCCACGGCTAGAGGAACTCTTCCCTATTTACATTCTTCACTCCCGTGTCTTGGCATCCAGTAAACCCCCTGTAACACCAAGGACTCCCTGCCCCAGCTTTCACAAAGGCCTTTTCTCTGGAGCTCTCCCCAATGGGCTGTGGAACAATTCCCTGGTTAAACAGAAGGCTGAAGAAAGCCAAAAGTTCAAGGGTCGGGTAAAAGAGGAAGGGGCCAATATGATGTCTGCTATTGTAGACAAATGGAAGGCCCTTAACAGCATGGAGAGAACAGAGGTCATGACCTCATATTTAGCTATAGTGAAACAGTGGTCGGGTTATGGATCCACGTTGTTTGAAATTGACTTCTACATGGTAAGTTAGTAGTGATTAACAATGCATACTGGTCTGATGTTATCGGTGTACCCTAATGTTCAATGTTGTGACCCTTACTTTTTAACCTATTTATAAATTATATAGAGTTTGAAATTAAAAGCACAAAATCTGTGGTTGCAGATGACACCAAGCTATGTAGTGGAATAAAGTCCTTACAAGATGCTTCTATTGTACAAGCAGACCTGATGAATGCACTGTTTGATTCGGCAACTATGTGGCAAATTACATTTAGTGATAAGTGTAAAGTTATGCACTTGGGGACTAAAAACACACATGCTTTATACACTCTAGGACTCTAGGGGGAGTATATTTAGGGGAGTCAATGATGGAGAAGGATCTGGGAGTTCTAGTAGACATGGGGTGGTGTACCTCTGGCCCTCCAACTGTGGTGAAACTGCAAATCCCACTAGGCATTGCAAGATTCTCACAGGCATGACTCCCAGAGACAGATACATCATGGGATTTGTAGTTTCACCACAGCTGGAGGGCCCCTGTGGTAGACCATAGACTCAATAATAGCATGCAATGTCAGGCTGTAGCGTCTAGCAAGCAAAATCCTTTCTAGTATTAAAAGGATATAGACTCCAAATAGAGAGACATAATAGGCCCCTGTGCAAAGGTTAAATCTCTTTAACCTTTGTACAGGGGCAAATTAGAAGATTAGTAAGACCTCATCTGGAATATGCAGTTCAGTTTGGGGCTCCAGTTCACAAAAAGGATATCATGAAATTGCAGAGAAGGGCAACTAAACTCATAAGAGGCACGGAGGAGCTCAGCTAGGAGGAAAGATCAGCTGATCTGAATTTGTTCTCTCTGGAGAATAGGCGATCAAGGGGGGACATGATCACCGTGTACAAATACATAAATGGTCCATATAGTGAGCTTGGTGCCAAATTATTCACTATAAGGTCACTGCAAAGGACAAGGGGGCACTCTGCGTCTGGAGAAAAAGCGATTTAACCTCCGCCTACGGAAAGGCTTTTTTATAGTAAGAGGTGTGTGGAATAAACTCCATCGGGAACTAGTTCTAGATAGTTCAGTTAATTGTTTAAAACAAAATGAATTGCATTTCTAAATGCACAGAATATAACTGGCTATTAACATTTATAAGTAGTAACACCAGAGAATGAAAACATGAATGCTTTAAGCTAATAGTAAGGATTTTTCTCCTGTTAGAGCAAATTGGACCATGCTTTATAAGAGTGTTTTTGCCTTCCTCTGGATCAATGGTGAATATAGGGTTCTTTATATAGGGGTTTTTTAATGTATTTTTGTATTCATTTCTGTCTATTGTTAGAGCTCAATGGACTTGTGTCTTTTTTTAACCTATGTAACTTTGTTGCTATTCATATGTATTGTACTAACAAATGACCTCAAGAGGCCCTTTCACCAAACCATTCCTTTTAACAACAATCTTCGCATATAATTACATGTGCATTTAACGTAATGTATGCATGCTATTTACCTGTAAATTCCTTTGTGTAGATATCCAAAAATCATGAGACTGCTGCTGGGTGCCGCCATCTTGGATGTGGCAGGGGGTAGGCAAACTCTGGCCCTCCAGCTATGGTGTAGCTACAAATCCCATGAGGCATTGCAAGACCCTGATAGCCACAGAAATGACTCCCAGAGGCAGTTGTGTAATAGGATTTGTAGTTTTACCACAGCTAAAGGGCTGGAGTTTGCATATCCCTGGTCTATAGCATTCCCCTTTGCTCCTTCCCCAACAGATCCATATTCCACGGTCAACTGTTAGTGGTATTATAACAAAGTGGAAGCAACTGGGAACAGCCGCAACTCAGCCACGAAGTGGTAGGCCACGTAAAATGACAGAGCGGGGTCAGCGCATGCTGAAGCGTACAGTGCGCAGAAGTCGCCAACTCTCTGCAGAGTCAATAGCTACAGACCTCCAAACTTCTTGTGGCCTTCGGACTAAGACTGGGATGCCATTAAAGTTCATGTGTGTGTAAAGGCAGGCGTCCCAATACTTTTGGCAAAATAGTAATTGTATGGCAGTGTTGTCAGAATACTCAAACAGTAACGGCAGTGGTTTTGCTGCAGTCACTGTTCAGCTGAGATTTTTTTGGACTGGCTCCTTCGACAAAAGTTGATTCAAGACTTTACTTTTTTTGAGCGAGGAGGCCACACACTGCTTGAATTTTGGGCCGGGAGGACAGTGTATGGCCAGCTTAGGCCTCATGCACATGGGTGTCTGAGGATTCCTGCCTCAAGAACCTGATGGTTCTTGCAGCAGTAATCCCACGTGTACCTTTTCAGATGTGACAGTGTGCCCATTCAGGCTAATGACATGGAGACAGCGGCCACATCTGTCTGTGACTGCATGTAATTGTACATGGAACTATTACCTGCGGATTGGGAGAGATGTTTGTCCCGGAACGCAGGGAGCTTGCTTCCTGAGAAAAGCATCTCTCTCGATCCACATACCGTCATACCATGTACGATTACAAGCAGACAGTGATGGACAGATGCGGCCGCTGTCACCTTGTCATTAACTTAAACGGACATAGTGGCCGCATCTGAATGCGCACACCTCGGATTACTGACACAAGAATCTACAGGTTTTCTGCAGGAATCCACAGACACCCGTGTGCAGGAGGCCTTAGTGTATGCAATAAGGTATCAGCAGACCACGGAGTAGGTTGGTTGCAACATTTTATGTGACTTGTTCAGGTTCAAGTGGTAGTGCAGAGATTAGCTTAGATTGATTTATTACCTAAAGCAAAGTACTACATTATGGAAACAGTCACTATGTATACAAAAGCACCTACCCAAAACATCTACAGAAATAGGGCTATTTAACTTTTCATTTACGTACCTGGCTTACGCTGCTCTGATCAGTAGTAGGTGTCCATCTTCTGGGTTCCACACAGTTCTCAGTGGTTCCTCCTGGTTAGCGCTATGTCATTACAGGAGACAGTGGTGATTTGGAGGTCAGCAGGAGGACAAGTGAGAATTGCAGGGGTCCCTGGAGATCGTCACTTCAAAACGTGTTGGTTTCCTAGCTGACTTTGAGGGTCCATTTTTACTGATCAGAGAGGTGTTCAGCAGTAGGGTGGCAGGAAAGGTGAGTATTTAGTGTTCTTTACAGGCAGCTTTGCATGGCCTGTGTCAAGCAAAGCCAAAGAAATGGGCCACAGACATTTTGGTGTTTAGTGTTCTTCTCTATGAAACAAGTTCTATGTGTTCTGTTGTCTAGTAGATGATCTGATATTGTATCATTCTTAAGAATGTAATTGAGTGTTTCTCCATTCTTTATCATTTACCCAGAGTTCAGCAGGGAACTTCTCACAGCGGCTGTGGTTGGGTGTCAGCGCCTCGTCCCTGAGCCTGTACAAGCAGGGAGAAGTGGAGCCATTCGAGAACATTCAATACAAACAGATCACATCTTTTGGGGTATCAGACAGCTCCACTTTTAAAGTGTCTGTGGGAGAGAAAGAAATGACCTTTGAAACTTCTAAGGTGAGATATGCGGATTAACCTGTCTTTTTTAAAGTGACTATTGTCAGTTCTCTTTACTAGGAGCAACAGAGATGCAAAGGGATTTTTGTAGGAATAATCAATGGAGACAAAACAGAATGGTAGCTGCTCAATCAATTTATGACTAGCAAAGGGAGGGGCATGTAAGAGGTGCAAAAAAACGGGGATCACTGTGACTTAGGTCTGAATCCCGGTCTGGACGCTATCTGCAAGGAATTTGCATGCTCTTTTTGTGCTTGTTTGGATTTCCTCTGGGTACCACACTCAAAAGATATGCTGGTGGGTTAATTGGCTTCTGTCTAAATTGGCCCTGTATGCATGTGAGATTAGCACTGTAGATTGTAAGCTCCTCAAGACCAGGGACTGATGTGAACGTGCACTATGTAAAGCACTGTGTAAATTGTCAGTGCTAAATAAATACCAATAATAAATAAATAATAAAATCTGAGTTTCCTACACTATCATGGTAATGGATTCGAGTAGAACCATGTGTGGTCCTACTCAAACCCATGGGAACGCCAAGAGAGGGTCTTACTGTATAATGGCTGAGCTGACAACAAGAGACACAAACACAAACCCATGGGAACGCCAAGAGAGGGTCTTACTGTATAATGGCTGAGCTGACAACAAGAGACACAAACACAAACCCATGGGAACGCCAAGAGAGGGTCTTACTGTATAATGGCTGAGCTGACAACAAGAGACACAAACACAAACCCATGGGAACGCCAAGAGAGGGTCTTACTGTATAATGGCTGAGCTGACAACAAGAGACACAAACACAAAATGCAATCAATGACAAAAATCAGTAACCCAGTGAAAAGCGGAGCTTGTCCTCCACTTCCTCCTACACCCCTTTAATATGCCTGTGGTGGCCTTACTGACCGATAGGGGGGTTTGTAGGTGGGAGAGGGCAAAGCCAAGCGTGACATACACAGGAAAGTGATGGCAAATTTAAATTGTTACAGTTGTCACCTGTACAGGTTGTGAGGGGAATCCTTCAAATGGAGTCACTTGTTCCGTTGACAACTGTCTAAGGCAGAGGCAGCCAACTCCAGCCCTCCAGCTGTTGTGGAACCACAAATCCCATGAGGCATTGCAAGACTGGCAATTATAGGCATGACTCCCAGAGGTATGTTGGGATTTGTACTTAAAGCAAAGCTGGAGGGCCGGAGTTGCCCACCCCTGGTCTATCAGGTGATTGCATCTCACTTTCAAAAGCTTTTGATTCACACCCTGGTGTCTCTAGGACAAGAGGTGGAGAAAACAGGACAGTCTAAAGCTAGCCATAAACTGTTTTATTTCTTCCTTCAACCTGCTTGTGGGCTGAACAAAAGAAAAATAACAGATTCCTCCATCTACGCTAAACAGCGTGGATAAAGGAATCTCCCGCTGGGCGAGTGTGCCGCTGTCAGAATACCTAAACAGTGACGGCATTGTGCACTCATGGTCTACATTGTCACTACAATATAGACATAAAGTGGCTCAAAGAGGCTGCAAGAGATCAGCAGAGCAAAGATGCAAAAAAGGTGGAACAATGTGAAAATACAATTATATGGGGGAAAAAATGTTACTTCTACTTTAATGAATGAATGACCTACGTCTACTCTTTTCTTGTCAGGTGGACGAGATTGCTCAGCTGATTAATACATACCTCACCTGTATCAGTACTGGGCCTCACATGACAGGAGAAGGCGACAGCAATGTATCTGAAGAGATAAGCGAGGTGGTGTGATCTGAACTACCTGGTACCTTTCATATCTGACAGCTGCCAATGCCTGTGCACGTCCTTGTATCGGCAAATGAGAGGAGACCTAACGCTAGCGGTCGACTGCTTGGTTTGCCCTCATGAGTAAACATGGACTTACAGTTTTGAAAGCAGATAAGACTGTGTCATATGCAGACATCAACATGTGAATACTGGGCTTTCCATCAAACCAAAAAACGATTTCCCTCCGTAGCACCCCTCAGGTCCTGCCATGTTGTTTTCTTATATAATTCAACCATTTACACAGCCAGAAATATATATATAGCATATTTATATACCACCAGAAAAGGACTTCAGGATGGAAGGGTGTCTAGATCAGGGTGACTTCAATGTAATTATATACATGACACTTACCTCCATGTCCCCAGTGCCAGTGTACATTTTGGGAGCTGGCACACCTAAGCTGCCATGCTGCTGCCATGCTGCTTGGCAGGTTGTCAGTTGTCTGTAAAATCCCCATAGACGTCTATGGGGCCAACAACTAATTTTAGCAGACTGCAGAACACTGTGCGGAGAGTATAAATGTACTCAGCTTCCAAACTTTACACCTGCAGAGGAGGCACAGATGGGAGTGTAATACACTTAAAGTGATATTAAATGTTTTTCAGTTATTTCAAATGCTGATTAAATCCCTTACAATTGATGCTGCTTTTTGAGGTTTCAAAGTTCTAGTTTCCTGCAGAATCAGCTGAGCACTGATCCTGACTTCCTGTTTTAGGGTGACTCCTTTCCCTTGCAGGGTCCTATAGAGTTGGAGCCTGTTGTTTGAAAACTCAATATGGGCAACTCAACCAAAACTAAAGCAGAAAGAATCTGATCTGGTGCAGTTACTCTAGTAACAAATCAGCTTCTCTCTCCAGTTTGTTCGGTTAAGCTTTAAAAATTAAAGATAGAAGCTGATTGGTTGTCATGGACAACTGCTCCAGATTCTGTCTGGTCCAGTTTTGATAAATTCCCCTCAATGACTGTAAGAGTTTGGGCAAAAATGTACAGAAATAGTTTGCTGGGGAATGTTTTTGATCTGTATATTGATCTCATTATTGAAAACAGGTTTGAGAGCTTAATACTTCTTTAATGATCTATATGTAAGTGTATTTACATAAGACTAAAACAGCAGCTTTCACCCAATATTCACACATTTTTCTATGCAGATGAAGTGTGAATCTTGGGTGATAGTTGTTTGAAGCTTGTATAAAAACAGTTATAAATAGAGCGCTTAGTTCAGTTTAGCATCTCACCCCGATCTTGAGTCCTTTCATCCAGGAGTTCATGTTTGAACAGGATCTCTGTCACTGGCAGAAAAGATGAATGTTTCCAGGGAGGTAAAGCAGCATATCCGTTTCATGATTTTATAAATAATGTTTGTCCAGCATTGTGTTTAAAGAGAAGTAATGTTATTTTTTTTAAGAACATGCTTTATATAAGGGAAAAACAAAGTTTATGTTTCAAAAGCACTTTAAGTTATCTATTTTGTTTTTACGTTTGCGCTTATCTGCATATTATTATGTTATGGGGCAAAAGGCAACATACACTTATTGGAAGCGGTTGGGTGTAAAACACACCGGGGCGAGGATACAAGCCATCTCTTCTAGCCATTGAAGTTGATCTACTAAAGGAGTATAACAAAGGGAATTTTCACTTAGCTAAGCGAATGAGGAGAAACTGTGCTGACTTTCATCATGCAATCATGTAAAAGCAAAAATCCAGGTTTTTTAAAAATTTTCCTTGCACATGATTGGGTGAATTGTCCCTTTACTTCATGTCATGCACAAATATAAGTGAAAATTCACTTTGCAATGAGAATGTGTGTTACTGTAGTAAACCAACTCCGTTATGTTTAAATGTTTTGCCATTTTGTCGGTTTTAGGGTTTAATGTTCAATTAACCAATCACTTTCGGTGGACTAGCATTTCAAGGACCAGTCACCCTAAAATAGAATTCACCTTTATGCAAAAAAGGTACTTATACCAGTCACAGTTCTATATGTAAAGTTTAGGAAACGTTCAAAACTCAAGATATTCGGCATTATATACATTTTTGTTATGAAGCTTACTGCAACCTGTTATTCTATGTGATTCCTGCTGAACTGGCTGAAATTAAAGCTGTGGATAGGCCTGTCAACACCATCGACCACATCCTCGATTAAAGTCATTTTAAAAATCGACAGAGCCGGGTGAGAAATTGTCAGCCAAACAGTGATTGTGTCCAATGAATGCAGTCACTGTTCGAGTATTTGGACAGCTGCCAGGGCTGCGGCTGTCTGAATACAATAGTAGGCAGTGGAGATTCCCCCATGCATACTGCCTTCATCCATGGATGAAGGCATTGATTGATTGACGTGCTGAACCAGAGAACTCTAACAGTGTATGCCTTGCTTAAAGTGTATATTAACTTTTGCAGTCAAACATAAGAAATATATATATATATACATATAGAATAGGTTTTTTTTTAAAGTTTGATTTATATATATATATATATTTTATGAGTTCTCATTTACATAGCATACCTAAAAAACAAATAATTTTTTTTTATCTTATCCTTTCACGTTTTTCTGAAGCAGGCCTTTGGGTAGGCTGCAGGCTATCCTGACCTATTTCATAGAGGGCTAACTAAGGGAAAGTACAGTAAATAATATTCATAATAAAGTCAAAATGTTTTCAAATGCTGATGAAATCACTTACAATAGGTGCTACTTCTTGATGTTTAAAAGTTTTAGTCTCCTGTAGAATCAACTTGTACCCTGAGCACTGGCCCTGATATCCTGTTTTACGGTCTTCGCGGGTTCCTTTGGAGCCACCCTTGTGTGTGCTAGTAAGCTGTGTGTGTCTCCACAAACACACACAGGTACAGCAAGGCAAGAGGCAAGACACTCCCTGCTTGCTGCTCCCCCCCCCCCCCCCCCTCCCCCCAGCAAATATGGAGGAACACATTTTCTATGACAAGGAAGGCATGCCCCGTTACCTAAAAACCTGGGCAGCATGTCATTTGTTCAAAGACATGGATACTTACGCTGCTCTTACTCAGTGACGACCTGCTTCTTTCCACTTTCTGTTCCATATCTGCTTGCTGCCCCCCCCCCCCCCCCTCCTTCCTCCCTTCTCCTTTCTCTAAGCTAGTAGATTGACAGCTGCTGGAGACTGTGCTATCCTTTTTGATCTTGTACTGGACAGGAAGCTTAGGGAAGCCAACCTGAGAGAGTTGGAGCTGTTTGGAAACATTACTAAAAGAAAAAAAAAGTAAAGAAATACTTTGCTGGATAATGTATATTTCTTTGTTATGAATTTATTTTGGAAAAAACATTTGAGAGCCTAATACTACTTTAACATACAATGTACCACCAATATCTTTACCCCTAATATGATCTTCCGTCACAGTACAGGCTGGGTTAATTATGGTAAATATTTACTCCCCAGCCCCTCCTTAACATTACATAGAAGGTGACAGCTAGGTAAAATTATTAAGCAAGTATAAAAAAAACAAAAGGTAAGCAGCAATTTTTAAATATATTTTAAAATTCTACTATGTGAATGAGAACATGTAACAAATATAAAGTAGGCCTTATCCCAATTTAACTGCAAAAGTGGAAATACACTTTAAAGGAGTTTCACCAGAGTTTTGTAAAAGTGTTGCTGTGCAGGAAACAGCTGTGTGTATCACAATCTCTCCTCCCAGGACTGGAATTCTCTGTCTGGTTATCTTCAGGTTTGATGAGCTGCTAAAACATTTACACATATACCTTTATGTTAGGTTTATGAGCTTTGAATAGGATTATGCTGCTGCCATCTTTATATACTGTTCCTGGACTGCCACATATTTTGAGTAGAAGAACCAGGGTTTAATATAGGTGGGAGTTGATCGAGTGGATGTCATCATTCTAGAGTATTACATATCTTTGCAGTTGGGACACCATCTTTCCCCGTCTCAATCACTATACATTCAGGAATTAAAAGATAACTAAACCCAAAAATGTCATCTATCACAGCCACACAGTCCTTAGATGTGGGGGCTGCATTCATTTTTATCAACTATGAAAAATCCCTGTTGATCCTAAATAAATAGCCATAAATGCAGTGTCCTTGTCACTTCCTGTGATCTGGACTTAATACACAAACAATGTTATCTTTCTTGGATTGAAGATTAACAAAGGCAGACATGTTTGAAGTCCGGCCTTGTGTGACAACAGTGGCTCCCCCCCATAGATAATGTAGAAGAGTAAGCGAAGTAACTCAAGGACAAGAAGGGTTATTTGTAGAATTGCCAGGTGAAAACAAATGTAAATAGGCCTGAGAAAAAGAAAACGAATGCAGCCACCCCATCTAAGGACTGCAATACAGGTGGTCATCGGTTTACAACGGTTCAATTTTCACCAATTAAAAATGGCACCCTTTTCTGGGAGTGTTGTAAATTGAAACCAAATATATAATGTATGTCAATGGGAAGTGAGGGAGTTAGGTTCCAGACCTCTCTCAAAACAAGGAACGGTTCCATAAGGAAACTGGTGTATACCGAAACCCAGTAAATAATGTAAGTCAGTGCAAAGTGAGGAAGTTAGGTTCCAAGCCTCTCTCATTGACATAAGTAACATAGTGCAGGTACATTTTATTTAAAGCTCCTTGTGTGAGCTCCTGCAGCAGCTTTAAATATAATGTACTTGTATTTTATCACTTATGTAAATTTTGAGAAAGGTCTGAAACATAACTCCCTCACTTCCCGTTGACTTACATTATATACTGGGTTTCAATTTACACCGGTTTCTATTTACAACCATTCCCTCAGGAACCTAACGCCAGTCTAAATTGAGGGCTAGCTGTATATTACATTTTTGTTTTTGGGCTTAGATACGCCTTAACATAAACCATTGCTGCCTTTTTAGACTGAACAGAAAATTATTTGTTTTTAAAAAGCCTCTACATTTAAAGTGAGCATGTGCTTTGACCATGTTGGCTAAAGGAACAGATTCTCTTTAACGGAGGCCCCATCAGCAACTTACACTTTATTTCCTGCGCTCTATTCAGCCACCTAAAGGAAATAGCAT